GATCTTGGTGATGAATTATGAGATTGGATAATCCGCTTGTCCGATAAGCAGCTAGGACTTATGGCGGAAATTTTAAATTGGCTTGCGGACACTGATTGCGCGAGCAGGCTAAGTGAGTACTTCATCCACAGGCTGCAGACGATCGATTTCACTATCATTTTTGCCAATTGTCGGAGTGTACAATCGTAAGCTGTGTGTCTTGAAGTTTACAATAGTCTGACAGGTTATTTGATAGTCCCTCTGGTGTTTATCATTCCTTAACAACGTGCTTACTTGTGAATCTCAAGGTATTCGCTTGGTAGATCTTTATCTGTTTGACGTGTCCTTGGATTGTAGGTGTCGCATGATTCGCTTTCTCAAGAGATGAAAGATGCTGTCCATGAGCTACTTCTGCGTGGCCAGCTTATGAAGAATCAGCGGGGAACTTACTTCTTGCCTTCTAGAGTGCACGAGCATCGTTACCACCACCGCCAGGGTCACCACCACCACCAACAGTAACACAAGTGGTTCATTGTTTACAATCTTTTTTTCTTGAATATTCTTTTAGCCAAGAAAAAGGAATACAAAAACTTTGAATGAATTTAGCATTGCTTGGGCATGATTAAGCTTTTACATGATCTACTTAGAGAAAAAGATAAAATATTTTGCAAAAACTTTGAATGTATACATTCACATTGTTTACATTGTAGCTATTGATGGGGCTGCGTTGTTGATTTTAACCCAAGCTGGTCTAAAATTTCCACTCGCAGTCGTCATTGTCGGGAGCACTGGCCTGGCTGTGTCCTCGGCCTTCTCTTGGAAATATGGCATCTTCAAGGCGTTTTGTGCCGAGATCCTCCTCGCCGGATCAATCGCCAGCATCCTCTTGAGCAGCTCCACCGCCTCGGGGTCTTTAATTCCGCTTCTCACGTCCTCGGCTTTCCACCACGCCATCTTCTCCAAGATCCTCTCGCGTGCTCGCTCTCGGCGCCTGTCTTGATAGCCCATGCCACAGCCATCGATGTCCAGCTTCTTGGCGAAATCAGCCACAAAATAGTCGAGCGAGTCCCCATCCTCCTCGTCGGGCACGTCAAAGGGATTGCTACCCAGGAGCATCTCCGCGAATACACACCCGGCGCCCCACACGTCGATTGCGGTGCCAAAGCTGGTGGCACCCTTGAGAAGCTCCGGAGCGTTGAACGTTAAGGTCCCGACCTTGTTCGACCAGGGGCGTGTCCGCAGCCTCCTCGCGGTAGCGAAGTCCGCCAGCTTCACCACAAACTTATTCTTCTCTCCATCCCTTTTGACGAGAACGTTGCTCGTCTTGACGTCTTGGTGAACGATTCTGTGCGCGTGAATCCACGCCAGGCCCTCGAGGATCTGGCGCATCACGGCCCTGATGTCGTGCTCCCCAAGCTTGCGTGACGAGATCACATCGCTCAAACTCCCGTCCATGAGCTCCATCACCATGAACGTACCCTGGTTGTTGCAGGTCAACCCAAGGAGATTGACAACGTTGTCGTGCGCTACCTCTTCCAGGATCTCCGACTCGTTGATGATGGCATCGTAAAGGTACTCGTGCTCGTACATCTTCTTCATGGCTACTTTGTCTCCAGTCTCTCGGTGGAACCCAACCCTCACCTCTCCATCCGCTCCAGCGCCTAGCAACCTCGCGTCACTCGCCCACACATAGTCTGCCATCGCTCGAAAAAATGAATGGTTAGGAAAACCTAAAGGATTTGTTTTGCAGAAAAAGGCACCCAGCTTCAAGAAAAAGATGGAGAAAAAGGAGTTTATTTTAATTACAAATGTAAAAAAAAACGGACAAAAACTCTTTAAATCTTGGACGCACACAGGCTACGGGCAGCATATTCTCCTTGAGCTTCCTTGATCATGTCCAGCCCTAGGCGCGGTTGCAGAGGACCTGTCCGGGATCGTCAAGAGAGCACCACCACTCCTGATCCCAAGGGTGGCGAGGGGAACAAGCGCAAGAGGGAGCCAGCGGTAGAGGATGAAAGCACTTGGCAAAGTTAATGAGTGTTATGAGAACATTTACATTACAAATGCCAATCCATCTCTATATCTCTGCATGCGTCTTTTGACATAAAAGAAAAGTATTTTCCTCAAGTTGGTGTATTTTTTATAAAGTGTGCTTTATATTAACTTATAAACTTGTATGTGATCAGTAAGTTGAAATTATTAAGAAAACTAAAAAGTACTAACTTCCTACTAATGTCTAAAAAGACTTGGCTGAAAAATATTTTTAATATCAACTAACAAACCATCAATGATGTGCACTTTGATTGGATAAACATAAAGTAGGAATTCCTATATATTGTTTGTTGAGCATACTCAACTTGATATAAGAGATTCATATTATTAATTTGCACTTGTTACTATCAAGAACTTTATAATATTGAGTTTAATTCCTTAATATTGCTACATGATAGGTTATTGTATCACTTGTTATCATACTTTATCTGTTGGTTCAATTTAAGTCCTATATACTATTTATTGTAAATGTTTAGAAGTAAACCTACATTTAATGCTATAATAAGTTTTCAAGATAAATCTTGGGATTAAGGAAAAAGCCCAAAATGTGTTTTCATATAAGGGAAAAGTGTCTAATTGTAAATATATAATAATTATAAAAACATAGTTATGTGTATTCAACTTAGGTTAAAGTCCAAATTCCATGTTGCTCTAATCAGTGAGGTACTCACCTCTTTGCATTGCCATTGAAGTTTAGTATACATTCAAAATCCTTTATAAGTATCAAGGTTTGCATAATTTCAGCATATTTGCTTTGTAATGTAATAAGTTTGGAGTTCAACTCAAAATTTAAGTGTATTACATAATTGCCCTTAGCCATAGTTATCCTAAAATAGAGTGAAGGGTGAAAACCACATCACTAAATAAACCTAAATACTCTTTAAAAGATCAAATAACTATCTTAATTTTCATTTCAGCAGTTATGTGTATGATTAATTGAATTTTGTATAGGAGGCTAAAGTTAAAAAATTACAAATAAATATACTAAAAGGCATTATAAAGTTATTTAGGAGAAAGAAATATACCCTTCAAAACATCAAAGGGTTTGAAAAATTGAAGATAAGTTATATAGTGGAAGAAAACCAAAACAAAATAATTTGTAATAGATTAAACATTTGGTAATATCTTTGGAAGTATTTATAACAAATATTTGAAACAAAAGTATATTGACCATTTAAGAGGTTAAAAGATTTGATAAGATATATTGAAATACATTCTAATATATAGGTAAATATATATTTATCACATATAATATATTTCTATATGCTAATTATGCTTATTTAGTATATGGATAAATAGTTAAATCAAATCAGAATACATATAAAATTATAAGAAAAATTATATGACTATTATTCTAAATTATATGGAAAATTATATTTTGAATGTTATAATTGACCATATAACTTACCATATCTCAAATTTATAAGTGAACTAAAAAAATGAACAAAGAATAATAGTCCCACACACAAGTAAAGATATTATCAAAAATTTTCTTTTTTTAATTACATCATTATGATGTTTGATATATAAAAATAATTCTTTGAATACACTATGCTCATTGTAGTAGTAGTGTATTTAAATTATGAAATTAAGTTGAAATTAGCCCTGGTTTGTATATTTTTAGTGATTTATTGAGATCATTATAATAACATTTTTTACAAAATAAGATTAAGTATAAAAGTCACAATTAGATATTTATGTAATTGTTTATTTTTAATAATTAAGAAAATTATTGAAGGATAAAAAAGTAACAAATTCATAGTGTTGTAGGAAAAAATGAAAAAATTATAGTGGACATATATTTAATAACTTGTATTAAATAAGTTTTATAAGTTTTATAATATAAGTACTATGATAAATTTCTAAATTTTCTAATTTAGAAAAATTAGATTTCAATACCAATAAAAATTAATAATTTTATATGATTTCTTTTCAAATTAATATTATTTTGACAAAAATGTGGTTACATCGCAATGGTTGTTCTCTTTTGTCTCTTCCATAATTTTACTTTCTTTTTTTTTTGAAAATAAAAATTTGTTTTTATAAATTATAAATATAAAAGTAAAAGTTACTATATAATAAATACATATTTAAAGAATATAAAAGCTTTAAACTAGTTTTTGAATCTCAAAATGTGATTTTTAAAGGTTTTTGGAAAGAGAAATACTTAAAAATTATTATTTTAATTTAAAAAAATATATATTCAAACTCAAAAGTTTGTAGAAATATTAAACTACCTTTTTTATATATAAGGAAGAAAGCAATTTAATCTAATTTATCTAGAAGGATAACTTACCATTTGACTAAAAAGTATTAACGTTTTCTCATTAGACATGAAATGAGATGTTTTATAAAAGAGGAATATAGTAGAAAGGGTTTAAGAAAGTTTATATATTATAAACATGTTTATAAATTATAAATACAAGATTGATTTAAATGAATAACAACCGTTAAATAGTAAAATATCCAAACATATTCTAAGCATATTCACTACCATCCTTAGTTTAAGCAAACCAAAAATGTAAAAATGTTCTAAAGTTATTCTTTTCTTGCCGATCTTGGTTTCTTTAGGGTTTAGGAGTGTCATCTAATATTGCTAGACCTAAGGTTTATTAGGTGGACTGACAGAATGGTTACTATTGCATTTTCTTTTGACTTCAAAATGGCAATAATTTTTCCACATTGTTCATCTTCTTCCGGTGTCTGATCCCAGGGAACAAGTACAAAAGGAAGCCAGTGGCAACAGAGGATAAAAGCACTTGGCAAAGTTGCTAAGTGTTACAAGGACATCTTCTTCATGATGTAAATGTTCTATACAAATGCCAAGATCGATCTAGAACCCCGCCGGAATATGCTACTCACAGATTGCCGGAATATCCCTGATACTTTGAAATTCCCGCGGATGATTTATTTTGTCTCCATACTTTAGCCCCTTATGACCAATGGATTTCAATAGGGTTTATGGGGAAGAGAATGCTAGTGTGGGGGAAGAAATGGGGCTGGATGGAGCTCGCCGGGGCCGCATTCGCCGTCGGGATCGTCCTCGCCGCGATCTTGAAGATGGAATTCTTGCTGCGCATCTGGAAGCACTACACTTCGTACGCTGACGCTGAGCTGTGGGTGGATATTACGGTCCTCCAGGCGGCTGTTCACGGTGGCGCTGGTAAAAGACCGATCGATCTTTCTTGGCATTCTGGATTGATCGTCTTTCTCTTGCGCAGTGTGTCTGGATGGCAGTCCGCCTGCGTATCACTGGCATCCAGGCACTGGATCTGGTTCCAGGAACTGGATCGTGTTCTTGGAGGTGAGCTTTAGCTCGAGAGATTTTATTTTATTTGACAGATTCTTTCAGGGTGGAGCATGGTGTTCCGATCACGCATCTTGTGCACAGCGCGCTCGAACCTCCTTCGGCTCCTCCGATCTCATGGATAGACAGACGCTGTTTCTCGGGATTCTCAGCAATTCGGCTCAAGAAAATCCAGGTGAGTGGTTTTTCTTTCCAGCAATGTGGATTGATTTTGCTACTGGAGGTTTAGATTTTTACAATTGGAACCGGGTGAAAGTCAAGTACTGTGATGGAGCATCCTTCGCAGGAAATGTGAATACCACGGTGACGGTGGCCTTCGACAGCGATAGCCAGCAGGCCTTGGGTCTCATGTATAGAGGAGAGAAGATATGGAAGGCGGTTGTCTCGGATCTTTTGAGCAAGGGTATGAGCAACGCTGAGATGGTTAGTCCGGATTTTTTCTTTACTTTTGGTAGTTCTTATCGATTCCAATTATGTAGGCACTTCTAGGTGGATGTTCGGCTGGAGGTCTAGCGGCTACTCTTCATTGCTCGAGCTTTAAGGAGCTTTTGCCACGGACGACATACGTCAAATGCGTCAGCGATGGAGGATATTTCTTGGATGCGTACGTGAAGTTCGGTTTCGTTTAAAGCAGCTGTTTCTGATGTTTCCAAGCTCTTTGACAGGAAAGATATAGCAGGCAACTTCTCGTTTCGTTCCTTTTTCAAGGACGTGGTGGATATCCATGTAAGTGTTTCGTTTCAGCATTCTTGTTTCCACACTCATGCATCGTCGCAGAATGCCCGAGAGAACCTGCCAGAAGCCTGCGTTGCAGAACACGATGCACAGGTATTTCACAACTCCTTTTCTACGTAGCTCTTACGTCGCTTGTTCAGTGTTTCTTTCCTCAGTACGTCGCTCCTCACATCCACGTCCCCATTTTCTTTGTCAATCCAGCGTATGATGTTTGGCAAGTAAGCGCAAAAGCTAATGCTTGTTCCAAGGAAGTGACAAATTCGTGTGAATCCTCAGATCCAGAACATTTTCATTCCAGACGCAGCCGACCCTGACAGGAAGTGGACTACTTGCAAGTATAACCCGTACGTCTGTTCCCAGGATCAGCTCAGCGTTTTGCAAGGTATCAATCAATCACGTATCTTTTTCGATGCATAAATCCATGGGCTCCCAGGTTTCAGGACGGAGTTTCTAAAGGCCGTGGAATACGTGCGAGGTGTGGATCAGAGTGGTCTCTTCATAGATTCGTGCTTCAGTCACTGTCAGCTTGAAGGGTTAACTTGGAACACAAACACGATAGGAAACAAGGTCTGTCGATATTCTCATTTCACGTAGAATGCTCACACTTTTGGTTTTGCGCAGACGATAAGAGAAGCCTTCGGAGACTGGTACTTCGCAAGAGGCGGCTCTTCGTGGAAAAGCATCGACTGTCCGTATCCTTGCAATCCAACCTGTATAAAATGGACTAGCTGGAGGCACTGAGCTGATGAGGTACACACGCCAAAGATGAACTTTTAAGTACTATTTTGCAGCTCCAGCCCCCAGCTCGGCGAGTTTTTGTTCCAGCTTGGCGTCAAACTCGGCCCGCATCTCATCCATGTAGCGCGAAACAACCTGGTTGACTTTTCTTGTGATCTCATCCGGGATGGACGCTGGAAGCGGCGAGAACCAGCTTAGCATTGGAGATCCAAGCCCAAGTAAGTAGCCTCTACCTCGATACTGTGCCTCGATCCTGGCTTGCCTCTCGGCTTCTTCAGCCAGCCGCTTGTCTTCGAGCCTTTTTGCTTGTTCCTCCTGCGCAGGAGAAGATTTTGCTCGTAAAGCTTGTGAAACTCGTCGCCCACCTCTTGCTGTTTCCTGAGAGCTTCCTGTTGGACGTCGTATTCCTCCTGTGTTATTGCGAGATCTAGCGACTTTAGCTCCGGGGCTAGCTCTACGAGATTATACTCCCAAGTGTCCATGTTGAGGTAGTAAGTCGGGCAGAACGCGTATTGGTAGAGCTTGAAGTGTCTGTAGTATCTGTGAGAGGAAAGAGCATAGGAGCTGGACTCATCGAGTAGAAGCTTTGAAGCTGGGAAGATTGTTTTACGTGTTGAGGACGTATCTCGTTATCTCTTGGAGATCTCCAAATGTAAACAAGCCGATTGAGAATGGTGGTCGCTGGACGCTGTGCAAGAGAAAGAGGTTCTTTGCTGTTTCCCAGCTTCTTTCTACTGTTAAACGCATGCCTTTAAGGCAAAAAGTGAAAGAAATTAGTACGTGGACACTTAAGAATGGTTGATGGAGGATTTACCAATGGCTTGGTCGTGAATTGCCTTGACTATTGAGACGAAGGCTGACATCTTCTCAAGGGAGAAGCCCTGTTCCTGTGCAAAGCTTGACAAGGATTCGAGAAGCCAGTGAGTGAGAAAGACATGTAGAAAATCCTACTAGAGGGAGCCGTAGTGCAAGTCAAGCAGTATCTCGGAACAAATGCTTCCATCATTCAGCTTCATCGCTTCTCCTAAATGCCTAAGATCCAGAAAGCCATGAAGGGAGAAAGAAGCTCAGCCATGGAGCTGTTTGCTTACCTCCGCACGTCACTTGGGGTCTCCGAGTCATCAAAAATGTGAGCCAGCTCTTTGTGTGACAAGTCGCGCCAAGCCAGACACTCGGCCTGCATTATCCACTCGTTAGAACAAAAGAATGAAAGAAATTTGAAGAACACTCACCATCGTGGAAGCAAAGTTTTGCACCACCTGAAACCGGAGAAACCTAAATCTGATTCCAGAAATGTCAGTTAGTGAAGAGAAATCTCAGCCGCTCATCCCAACTTCGGCCGAATCATAGCTTCTTTGTTTCATACTTTTTTTCCCCGCGAACTCCAGTCAAAGGTCGTTAGTTTCACAAGAAAAGTATTAGCAAAATCCCTTTTATGGAAGTGGACCTTTGGGATTGTGAGCCTCGATATCTACATGCCGAACGCCAGGAACGATCTTCTGGATGTCTTTCTCTAGTCTGTCCACTTCGGAGCCCAGAGCAGCCACCACTTCTTCTCCTGCAAGAAAACCATAAGAACAGACTGGAGAAAATAAAATTTGCATTACCGTAGTTTGCAAGTGCGGTCTCCAAAGCAGCAGGGTCTTTCGCAGCATTCTGAAACTAAACAAGGAGAACGAAGATTGATAAAAAGTGAAAGAGGGCCAAGTCACGAACAGACCTCCTTTATCCAGGCTTCTCGCCCCGTCCGTTGCAAGTAATTATGTACAACTACTACACCGTCAAAATCTGCGAATGGACAATCTTAGCGCAGTTCGACGAGATCAACAGACGTTACCGATTTCTGCCTTGAATCTGTACGATCCTGGCCCGATCACCTCGCTCTTACAGTCATAGACCGCATCAACAACCTGCATTTTCGCTTATTTGAGGCTTGAAGGTCTATAGATAGCTAACTTACAGGATCTGATGCAAGCAAGTCCAACACGCGTTGCACATCCTTGGGTTCCATTGAGCGACCAAGGAGAGCATGGCGATTTCGTTGAATCAGAAAAACTGCCACCTGTTCGCGTGTGGGCACGGGTTATGTTCATGTCTTGACTAACACAATCTTACCATTCCGAGAAGATTTCCCACGAGTATAGATCCAAGAGGGTCCCAGATTGGATTGCCCGTTAAATGCACAGCAGTCAGCGACATAGCAGCTATAAACAAGCCAGTGACCGCAGCACCATCCTGAAAATGATTCGAAGGTAAAACTCTAGAAATGAATTGTATTATGAAGTACCTCCATCATGACAGCCACGGATGTTGGATCGTGACCACGCCAAATGTACTCTTGAAACTTCATTCCTTCCGACGCAGCTCCTTGCCGCACAGCGTTCACAGCCACGTAGAGTGAAGCTCCTGCAAGGAGCACCGTAATAATCCGCGCATACATTTCGTCATTACCTTCCATTAACATTGAACCACCAATGACAATGGCAGCAGAAAAGATGTTGTCGATAGGCTACACACACAATAAAAAAAGGACGTTACGTGCAAAGCCTGAAAAATAGAACAAAGATACCTCAGCTTGCCATAAGTTGGAAATTCCGTGGACAATTGTTGCGCCAGAGCCCAGACAAAATATCCCGACAGCTGATATCAGCGACCAAACGAAGCGTTCTTTGGAGTAACCATACCTGAAAAGCGAACAAAAGAACAACCGTCAGTATAAATGAAAATTGGAATGGCAAGTGGAACTAACACTCACGGATGAAGGGCATCTGGAGCACGCTTTGAGCTGACGAGACCATACGCAAGCAACCCCTGGAAAGAAAAATCATTCTGGATAAGCAAAAGGCTGCTATCAGAAAATTCACGAGACCTGGTTCGCTAGATCCGCTAGAGAATGTACTGCTTCCGCGAGCATAACATGGCTTCCAGTCATAAACCAGACGCCACACTTTAGAGACAGAACTAGAAAATTGCACCAAAGCGCAGTCACTACAGCCCTTTCACTGCCACGCAAAACAATATACGTGAAGAACTATAAGAGAAAGGAAAGTTTGTAACTTCACCTATGGCCATGAACTACGGCGGGTTGTGGATCGCTCTCTTGTTCTTCTTCTTCTCCTCGATGAGACGTGCCGGAGTTGTGAACTACACACAAGCACATATTAAGTAGCGCAAAATGCCGATACTGGCAAAATACGGGCAATGCTGGAACTTACATCGTCGCTGCTCGAATCGGAATGATCCCCGAGAATATTTCGCGATGAAGTACGTCAGGGGCGGCCTGGCATTGGAATTCTCCTCACGGCCGTCGCTCTTCCGCAAATCAGCCTCCTTCCTGTAGCACGACACAAGAACGCTGCGCCGGATCCCAAATACCTCGCCGCATTCCTCACCCAGCAAGCTCCGGCCCGGTAATCCGCGGCAGCGCTGCGCGCATCGACAAACCCTGGCTCTGGAGCTGGAAATCAAGCTAGAAAGCATCGCCGCGAAGACGCAGCATCAAACTAGGGCTCATAGACGAGCCATAAGGCGGGACTGGATCTTCGTCCGTGGATATACCCTGGAAATATCTCATACAAATGATCCAAGGCTCGATTCCTCCTAAGCCATCACTCCAACGATCAATCAAAGGCAAATAATACATTGCCGTGTCAATGCCAGGCTTTGTTTGAAGAGAATATTTCCAGCAAGGAAAGTCGAGCTCCGGCTATGGCTGGCAATGGCGGATCATCCTTGTTCTTTCTCTTTTTCCTCATCGATGCTTCGATTTCTCTCGCGTTCTTGCTGGATTTCGAGGGAGCTAGCGATCTTGATCGCAGTCTCTACCATTCTCCAGCGTTTCTTGCACGGGACTACCAGGAGTTTCTAGATCGCTTCAAGGTCTACGTCTACCCGATGATCCAGAACGCCAGCGCTCCAGATTTGCGAGATGGGAAGGCAGCACGGCCAGGTTCGATAGATCGAGTCTTTGTGGATTCGCTGCTGGCCTCAGGGTTTGTGACGGATGATCCGGAGGCGGCGGACTTGTTTCTCCTGCCAGCGTCGATCTCGGCGATCTGGAAGAAGAGGCCCGATCCGAAAGGGATCGCTCACTCCCTCAAGTCTTACATCCAGCAGCTGCGAGATCTCTACCCGTATTGGCAGCGATCGCTCGGGGCGGATCACTTCTTCGTCTCGTGCCACGATATTACGAGCGACTGGTCCAGGAATGTTCTTGAGCTCAAGAAGAACGCGATCCAGATCGCCTGCTTTCCACTGGCCAGGCATGGAGCGCAGGAATTCCTCGCGCACAAGGACATCACAATGCCGCCCGCAGGAGGATCGATCGATCCTCCCCAGCGCCGTCGGTGGAATCTCGCGGTGTACGATTCCAGCTCCCAGGGCTACGCGGCGAGTGATGTTCCAGCGTCTTGGAAATCCGACGAGAGCTTCGTCGCTGGCGCAGTGAAAATGGATCTACAGCTGCTAGTGACAACAAGGTTTTGTCTCAGCCTTGGCTCCAGCGATCGGCACCTCGTCATCCCGGCCGTCCGATCGGGATGCATTCCGGTCATCTTCTCCGCGGGGAAGCTGTCCGATCTGCCGTTCCAGGACATTCTGGACTGGAATAGCTTCGCGATCGTCCTCAGCCGCGACCAGCTCCACCAGACCAAGGCCATTCTAGAATCGATCGATGAAGAAAAGCTCTCGAGGTTGCAGGAAAATGGGGCTAGAGCAGCGAAGCATATGGAGTGGCACTCGCCGCCACAGCCGGAGGACGCGTTCTACATGGTCTTGTACCAGCTATGGCGCCGGCGCCACGTCAGTCGCTATGTGGATTGAATCTAGCGTTAGGAGGGCTGAGGTGGCACTTCGGCCGAAGTAGTGGAGGCTAGGAGGGTGACGAGCCGGGATTCCTGTAGAGCGAGGTCTGTTCCAAAGTTTGGAGGATGGAAGTTGCCGTAGTGCGCCATAGATCCTTGGTCCAAGCCTGGGATCGAAATGCAACTGGAGAGCGTGCGATTTGCCTGTTGGTAAGCGTGAACTTTCTTTCAGTCGAGGTTGTGATCATTTTCTTTCTTTTTCTTCTTTGGTTTCCAGGTTTCCCGGATTTAGTACGAGATTTATAGAGTTGACCTTGTGATTCTCTCGCTATGTCAATGGAATGGGGAACGATGGTGTGCTACCAGCTTCTCCGCTAGTCACGGCTCCAACGATTTTTGTGCTGCCTTTTAAAGTGTTTTCCAACAGGAACAACGCAGAGTGGGAGATTATTTCTTGCGTGAGACTTGGAAACCGCCAGTCCCCCGTCTGCCTGTGAGTCTGATTCCAAAGTTTAACGAGTCTGAAGAAGAAGCAAAGAACACTGCCTTGATCAACGAGTACCGGATGGAAGCCAGGCGCGTGGCATATGAAAAGTACGTGTTTTCAATTTCACTGATTCAGAGCTTTGTGGTTGATGTTTCCCTGTTTGGAATGTATCTAGATCCAAAGGTGAAGACGCTCAACCCAGGCCAGGTGTGGAGTCGACTGTCACGGGCATGCCAGGACTGCAGCCTGGGCTCCATACTTGGGAAAGAGATGAAGCTCTCGGCTTTGCAACACAAATTCAACAAGCAGCTGTACGAGTTTTGCGACTCCATTTACATTCCGCCGGAAGTACACAGCTCACTATGTTTGTTCTCACCTCGACCACGACGTTGACTCTGTCAAATTCTGCTACCAGGTCCTTGAGAGTCAGAAGCGTTGCGACGACGAGAGTGTGCTGCATGTGGTTGGATTTGGATAGCCGCCACACTCGGATCTTCTTGTCCCGAGTGCTGTTCAAAGAGCTTGTCTCCAGCCACAAGCAGCGGCGCGAAGCTTGCTCCTCAACGTGACAAGGATCCGACTGTCTCCACACTTCCCTGCCACCGCAGATGAGTCCGCCGTGGTGAACGAGGCCGAGAGAAATGACGCCGCTCCTCCTAGCCGCGAGCTCGCGATTGCTGCTGGAGCGATCCCTCGCGCAGGAGCTGGAGGTGGAGGAAGAGGAAGGGCGCATGGCGCTCCTGAGGCGACGGTAGGAGCAGAGAGATTCGTTGTCCGAGCAAGAGGAGGAGTCGGACAAGCTGCTGCTGCTTCTACCGGAGAAGGCATTGTTGTTGCTATCGCTATCGCTGCTAGGCAAAAGCACGGCCGGGAAGCGGAGACTTGGAGCTTACGCCTCGACAAGCGGTGGTGGACGACAGATCGCGAGCCTTTAAAGCGGCTACCTCAGGTATGGAGGCAATGCTCGTAAGCGATTCCTCTGGCAGAGGTGGCGTGTGGGGAGTTATCTTCAAGCTGTGGAGGACTGGTGGGCACAGGCACAGGAGGAAGCTCAACACACCCAAGCTCTCGAAGTCACATCTCGCGAGTTGTGCGGAGAAAAGCCCGAGAAAGAGACTAGAGGCGTTACGGGGAAGGACGAAGAATGGTGGAGAAGACGAAGGCGCAACTCAAGAGGCGTCTCACAACATTTATAGTCGGAGCAAACGCAGCGCAGCGATCTATCTCCAGTGGCGAGCAGAATGGATTCGACGCGGATATGCTCCTGGCGTGGAATGGGGACAAACGATAGCCAAGCTTGTTTGTAAGGACTTCAAGCTAAGACCACGTCAGCATTTTCCCGCGAAAACATCATTCGAAATGTCCAGCCCATCTTGTGTCATTCAATCTTTCGAAGATAGAACCGAGCCAACCGAGGGTCCTTCTTCTCTCATCTTCGAGAGGAAAAGCTCAGCAAAAGGATATATTTGTTTGGTCCCGCAGCAAAACTAGTGGCAAAATTCTGCCAGGGAACGATTCCTAGTAGGAACTTGACGCGCTTAGTAGGAACTTGAAGAGCTTAGTAGCTTCACAGGCCTAAACCAGGAATGCATTTTGATCGAATGAATGAGAAAGTAAATGACATTACCATATAGTGTCTGGAGGATCGCTCCCACTGGCTTCCTCGAAGCCAAGCGCGCATGCGCACATCCTGGGCTACCTCTTCTATCCGCCTGCTAACGACCACACCCTCTTCTCCTTCGTGTCAATCCTCTACCTGGGAAGCCTGCCCCCTGAGGAGCGTGAAGGGCTCCGAAAATCCCTTCCGCCGACTTCTCAGGTTGCGTGTGATCTTGTGGTGGAGTTTGCTGGGGAGCTGCTGGGCCACGACTTTCGTGCTTGCGATGGAGATGACGAGGTTGGGAAGCCGCTGCAGATGTTTTGGGAGCGCTTTTGTGGCAGCAAAGGCGTGCGCGTGCGCATGGATGCCGCTGCTCCTCATCGACCGGGCCAACTTGTCATGGAGGACCGCCCCCCTCGAGCCTGTGCGGCCCTCCCTGGAGCCCCTCTACTTTGGTATCATGGTTTTTCTTCCTTTGATTTCTTTCCTCTATGGATGATTCGTGTTTTTCCAGAGCGGCAGAAAGGATGCAGCTCGCGGCGTGGTGGCGGTACGTAAATTTTGACCCAGAGTGCCTGTGCTTACGCATTCCAGAATGGCAGGAAGGAGGGGCATGGTGGCGGTACGTAAGTTTTGAGCCGAGTGCTGTGCTAACCCATTCCAGGATGGCAGGAGCTGCATGGTGGCCGTACGTAAGTTTTGACCCGAGTGCAGTGCTAACGCATTTTGTTGTTACTTAGTAACAGGGAAGGGATCAGGAGCGAGTCTAGCCGTTGGACTGGATGATGTTCTCTCCAAGCTGACGGAGAGTGACTACTTTTTCTATTTGCCAGTGACGAACCTGGGATGGAACTGGGCTGCTGTTGCCACTTACAGACGGCTAGGAGACATAGTGGAGGAGGAGTACTCACACAGGAACGCCTTGCCCGAAGTGCCACCAGCGTACCCATGCGACGAAGTTACCACTTCTCCATTACGTGTGAGCGAGGCCAGGCTGCTGCTGCGCGGGATCCGGTCCAACCAGCTCCTACGCTCGCTGCTGCTGCACCGGCCGCCACACTCAACACTCCCGCACTACTACACGATTGTCAATGCCAGCGCTCACGCGCGTCTCTGGCTCGGCCGCTACGACCTCCCGGTCTACTACGATCACAGCTTGACGTGTAAGTTACATTCCGTTCGCTTCTCGCTGGCTATAACTTTCTCCCTGATCGTTTCTAGGCGGTGAGCTGTGTACCCGAGGAGCTGTATCGGCCGAAGAAGAGGTAGGCTTTTATACTTCTCTCCATTCCAGCTATAGAAGCAATGTCGTGTTCAGGCTCTGAACGGTGGTTTCCTGGTGGGTCTTTAGTGGAGACTGCGTTGCGACACAACACACTAAACCATATGTGGTACGTGGTTTAGGGTACCACGTAAACCACGTACCCTAAACCACAGAAGGGCTGAGGCGGCACTTCGGCCGAAGTGGTTTGCCATGGCGGAGGCGAGGAGGGTGACGAGCCGGGATTCCTGTAGAGCAAGGTCTGTTCCAAAGTTTGGATGATGGAAGTTGCCACAGCACACCATAGATCCTTGGTCCAAGCCTGGGATCGAAATGCAACTGGAGAGTGTGGATGGGATTGGATTGCTTTCTCCGCGATTTGTTCCGTATCGCCCAGTTGGTATACTTAAGCCGAGGTTGATATCGACTTCTTTCGTTTTCGTCTTTGTTTTCCAGGTGTCCCGGATTTAGTACGAGATAGATCGCTGCTGCCAAAGTGTTATAGAGTCTACAAAGGAGGCTACCAGGAAACGAAGAAACCGACGTTGTTTGACGTTGTTGAGGACGAAGGGAATCATGTGGTTCTCCCGCTGAGAATCAAAGGATGCCAATGGAATGGGGAACGATGGTGTGCTACCAGCTTTTCCGCTAACTCCTCCCAAGCACGAGAAGACGAAAAAGAAAACGCCAGTTCCCCCTTTGGCTGTGAGTCTGATTCCAATGTTTAACGAGTCTGAAGAAGAAGCAAAGAACTCTGCCTTGATCAACGAGTACCGGATAGAAGCCAGGCGCGTGGTATGTGAAAAGTACGTGTTTTCAACTTCACTGAACTTTGTGGTTGATGTTTCCCTGTTTGGAATGCATCTAGATCCAAAGGTGAAGACGCCCAACCCAAGCCAGGTGTGGAGCCGACCGTCACGGGCATGCCACCCAAAGCTCTTGAGGACTACAGCCTCCAGCAGCTGGGCTCCATACTTGGGAAAGAGATGAAGTTCTCAGCTTTGCAACACAAATTCAACAAGCAGCTGTACGAGTTTTGCGACTCGTCCGACACATTACGTCCATTTACATTCCGCCGGAAGTACGCTGCTCTCAAGGTAAAATTTTCCTCACAGATTCTTTTCTTTCTCAGCTGGTATCTCCTTCTCTGGACAGGCTCTCCATGACAAAGAGGCTGCAAAGGATATCAATCCGGCCGCCAGCATGGACCAAGCCGAAGTGTTCCTCAAAGGAATGGATCAGCATCCGTGGTACAAGGAGCTTGCAAAGCTCATCTTTTCGGGTGATAAGTGTGGCTCCAGGGGAGAGTGGCTCATCCTTAACATCCTCCGTCTGGCCGTGGAGGTACCAAAAGGATGATACTCTATATACAGGGCACACGCTTACGTGTCTCGCTCTAATAAAAGGAATGAGGGCTGGGCGGTTCTAATTGGAGGATGCAATGTGCCACGTCGGTAATTTGTTCACACAAGGAGAACTGCATGCTTCGAAAGCGACTGAAGTAGCGCGAGGCTTTGAGCTGGTTGGCCTGCAAAACGAGATGAACCTTACCTGGGATGATAGAGGCTGAGAAACCACTCCGGGACGATATCGCAAGACTCTACGAATTCTTCCAGAGCTTCGTCGGGAACTTTGAGTGCCATCCTGATCAATCCAAGAGCTTTCACTGTGCCGGGCTCGCTGAGATTCACTCCCTCGTTGTCCAGGAAGCAAAGCGAAGACACAATTCGAAATTATAAGCATATCTGATCAACAACACAATACCTTTGTGTTGTTTGATCTGCTACAGACGAGCATTGACTGTCTGTCTCACAGGTTGAAAGTAGCTGTTCAGCGATTCATTGTGGAGTCTCACAAGGAGGAAAACATCATCATGGGAGCCATTGGGACAGCCTGTGGAGCTTCAGAGTCCAGCATGGATTGCATCACATACGAGTTTTTGGTGGGCGAGGGAAAAGCAGGGCATGAAGAAGGACCAGAGGAAGTCACGGAAAATCAAGAGCGGACATTTTTCTTCCTGCAGGAAGACGACTGGTGACATCACTGAAGACTGGCTAGAGGCGCTGTTGACTGTTGCGGAGGTTGGATTTCTAATCTCCACCCTCAAGACAGCCAATGACCTGGCTGTTTTGAGTCAATGCGAGCTCAGACAGGAACTGCGTTCAGGGACTGCAACAGCTGGGCGGAACAAAATGGCGTGGCCCATTTTTATAGGTGCCTCTTGAACCGAAACTTTGGCTGGGAAGTTGAGCGAGGCCTCAATGGGATTGAGGACGAACAGGTGACCAACTTGTTCGATGAATACGGACGGAGGAGGCAAAGCAGCTTAGCAACCCTTCTGCACAGGTGCTTCAGGTGGAACCTCCTCTGCACCTTGTAGAGGTGTCTAAAGTCAACCCACAGAAGTTGGAGGACCGTCTGACGATTCTGGAGGATATGAGGGATAACAAGGAATTTCACTTGAAGTATCTTGAAGGGGAGGTTGACTTGTTGATTGGAGCTTCACTGTTGGAAATTTCTATTGAATTCTGGAAATGTGTTTTGAATGAACAAGTGAAAGAAAACATCGAAAGGCAAATTCTTCTAAAGTTGAAAAAACGGAAAAGATATTGACTTTTTGACAAATAATCTCCTTTGAGAAAATCCTTTTAAAAGATTGATGAGTTAATGCTTTTTACTACAATAACGAGGTACACGTTCTTATTTGAGGCTTCAAATGAGCTCTCTACTCTCTGCTCTCTGCACGTCCAGGACACTCTTGTTCGTCGCCAATCCCAGAGCACGAAGCGTTACGACGATCCAGACTGGATCGGCTCCCATGATAGACAACTCCAGGTTGATGATTCCTTTGTCCTCCTTGAGAAGAACTCTCGTGAAAGTGTTCCGGAAAGACAAGCCTTCGTTGGGATAAACAACGTAGCTCTTCCAGCAGCCCTTCCGAGAGATTGGAGCATCTCGCCCAAAGTTCAAGTCTTGAGGCATCACAACCTGGAAAGTTGTAGAAAGTCATTCCAGCAAACCAAGAGGTGGAAAGCCCAAACCTTCTCAGCTCCCTCGACGATGACATAGGCTCCAGGATCAAGAGGACAATCGATTTTTCCATCGGCATGGGCGTTTGAGAGCTTGGAGCCGATCATACACGGAATCTCTCCGACAAAAACTCCGTCATTTCGGAAGGACTCGTCGACCTTCTCGTTAGAGAGCTGAGAAGAAAAGAAAGAAACCTCAGTCAAGCAAAAGAAGAATGAAACACACTCCTCTTTCCTCTCTAGCTTCACAGGCAACGAAATGTATATCATCAAAGCCCTCTTTCTTACCCTGACATGGATGCCCGCGAACAATCTTGCCGAATAGCTCTGCAGGGATATTTCACCACGGGCGGCCGGAGCGACGCATTCAGGAGCTTGATGGACGCAGTTTCTCCACCGAAATCTCTGGAGGAGCGACGGCAGCGCCTCCCAGAAATCGTCAAAGGAGTAGATGAGATGCCCGCAAGCACATCCTCTGCCATGATGGCTCGCTCGATCGCTTGATTTCTTGCTAAAACCTTTGCAGGCTAGAAAGCTAGCTAGAACTAGAACATAAAACCCCTCCCTTTAAATCTAATTTGTTTTATTGCCTAGTTTGTTTTACCTTAATCTAATCCATCGTCACGTCGACGAAGGAAGGGCCGATTGCCCGTTAAGAAACGCATGAACCAAACTTTGCGCGGCATTTACTTGCTCTTGAGTCCCTTCAAACAATATGGTTCTTTCCACGGAGCTTTCTTTGCTTCCATTGACCTTCACAAAACCGAGAAACAAAAACTTAGATCTTCCCGATCGATCGAGCGGAGCTAAAAACGAAAAAAAACGTACCTTGATGGTAGCACCGGAAACACTCCTCATGTGGGAGATATGAAAGCCGCCTTTTCCAATGAGGCCTCCCATGACCGAGCTGGGAACGCTCATCTCCGCCGAGACTTTTGGTAGCATCGGTGGTAGTCGAGCGGCAGGATTTGCGTAGAGCGGCGGAGCTTGGGCCAAAACCCCGCCAGCGTATGCTGGACCTGCGAGAGGATGCGGTTGGAGGCCGTAGAGAGCCATGGAGGAAGGAGAATGCCCGTAGACAGCAGCCACGGAAGAATGCGGGAGTAGTACTTGCTGTCCGGTGTTTCCATCGATTCCTAGAAAGTATGCCGTCTTGGCTTCTGGATTTGTAGGCACAGTTTCCTTTGGTGGATTATCTCTGCGAGCGCAGCAGTAAAATTATCGTCTGCCGCAAAGCAACACCACCCCACCCCCAAAAAATACTACCTTAAGTTGGCAGCTACGAGCTCGATGGCCATTTGTACCGCGGCCACTTCGCCCGAGATCTGGAAGCGCTTCTAAGCTGAGACGAGGAACAAAAAGGAAAGAGAAATAAGAGATACCTGGACTAGCCGATCTGTCTCACAAGCTGCCGAGCAAAGCGGGAGCTGGTCCGAAGGCAAAACTCGGACGCTGGCCGAGGATGAGCCTCGAATGTTTTTTATGTTGGCCCCGGCTTTGCCGATCAAGCTCCCGGCTTGGGAGCCGGCGATGAGCAGCCTGGTCAAATTGGGAGAGCCTTGGTGCTGAGGACCAATTGCCGCAGAAGGCGTCGCACCATCTCCGTCCTAGAAAATGAGAAATGTTCAGAGCGACGAGTGACATATTCGCGATCAAAAAAATGTCACCTTTAGTAAGATCGTGACGACTTCAAGGAGAGCAAGCTCGGCACAACTTCTGTCCGAGACACCCTCGTTTTTGGAAGATATCAGTACCGCTCGATCCTCGGTAGTCTGGAATCAAATGCATCAAACACGTTAGCCAAGATCTTAAACAACCCAAGGAAGTAACGAAAAGAGAGAACTTTACATACGTTCATGGGATCCGCGATTTTGATGTGAGCGCCAGTCTCGTCTCTCAGCTTCTTTATCTGCGATCCTTTCTTGCCGATCACCTTGCCGATCTTCCCTGCAGGGACAAGGAGGCGAAACAAAACATCAGGCGTTTTGACAGCCCGTTTGGTCGCAGGGCCGGCTCCAATGGAAATTCCACTACCACCGTCCTCTGCGTGGCGCTTCCTAGAAGAGGAGGAGTTTGGGACGGGAGCCAGTAGCAATGCTGATGGGTTTGGGGCCATCCGATGCTTGGAGGAGAGGGCACTCGCTCTTGAGATTATCACAGCGGCACACCAGGGAGGAGGATCATCTCATGGGACTCGAGTGGAAACGACGACGATCAGGGGATCAACAACATCTAGTGCGACGCAATCATCTGCGCAGATCTGTTCGTGTGTGTGTGACAGAGATTATTCGTCTAAGAGAAGACTATGGTGCTGGTAAAGAAAGAAGGAGCAACAAATCCCCCCAAAATCCACTTACATTCCAGAAATGCAGGCGCCACGGCTGCCGCCGCTAGAATTTGCCATGGATTCGACGAGATCGACGCTAGCGCTGCCGGATCTGATCGATGTTTCCCTTCCCAGCTGCATAAACCCTATTCCTGACGCGGCAGTCCGTAACGCATGCATGGCGCCACATCTTGTCCACGTCATTTGGGCACCACGTGGCTAGGGCTTTGCTGACGCGGGTGGTTCTAATTTGAAATGTGCCACGTCGGCAACTGGTTTACACGAAGGAGAACTGCATGCTTCTAAAGCGACTGAAGTAGCGCGAGGCTTTGAGCTGGAGCGGCGTAGGCCTGCGAAACGAGATGAGCCTTCCATACCTGGGATGATAGAGGCTGAGAAGCCACTCCGGGACGACATCGCAAGACTCCACGAATTCTTCCAAAGCTTCGTTGGGAACTTTGAGTGCCATCCTGATCAATCCGAGAGCTTTCACTGTGCCTGGCTCGCTGAGATTCACTCCCTCGTTGTCCAGGAAGTAGAGCAATGGGACGAAGTCCTTTCTGGAGAATCTGCCTCCTCCCTGGAACCAAGAACGGATGAATAGCGTTGCGCATCTATCTAGAACTTTGCAAGCGTACCTCCACGGCCAGGCGGAGGATGTTAAGGATGAGCCACTCTCCCCTGGAGCCACATTTATCACCCGAAAATATGAGCTTTGCAAGCTCCTTGTACCACGGATGCTGATCCATTCCTTTGAGGAACACTTCGGCTTGGTCCATGCTGGCGGCCGGATTGATGTCCTTTGCAGCCTCTTTGTCATGGAGAGCCTGTCCGGAGAAGGAGATACCAGCTGAGAAAGAAAAGAATCTGCGAGAAAAACTTTACCTTGAGAGCAGCGTACTTCCGGCGGAATGTAAATGGACGTAATGTGTCGGACGAGTCGCAAAACTCGTACAGCTGCTTGTTGAATTTGTGTTGCAAAGCTGAGAACTTCATCTCTTTCCCAAGTATGGAGCCCAGCTGCTGGAGGCTGTAGTCCTCAAGAGCTTTGGGTGGCATGCCCGTGACGGTCGGCTCCACACCTGGCTTGGGTTGAGCGTCTTCACCTTTGGATCTAGATGCATTCCAAACAGGGAAACATCAACCACAAAGTTCAGTGAAGTTGAAAACACGTACTTTTCATATGCCACGCGCCTGGCTTCCATCCGGTACTCGTTGATCAAGGCAGAGTTCTTTGCTTCTTCTTCAGACTCGTTAAACATTGGAATCAGACTCACAGCCAAAGGGGGAACTGGCGTTTTCTTTTTCGTCTTCTCGTGCTTGGGAGGAGTCCAAGTCTCACGCAAGAAATAATCTCCCACTCTGTGTGGTTCCTGTTGGAAAACACTTCAAAACGGCAGCACAAAAATCGAAAACAATCACCGGCTTCGCTTCAGCCGCTGCTCGGACTTGGAAAGCTCGCTCTGGAGAATGTTGGAACCATTTGAGCCGCGGGCTTCACTAGCGGAAAAGCTGGTAGCACACCATCGTTCCCCATTCCATTGGCATCCTTTGATTCTCAGCGGGAGAACCACATGATTCCCTTCGTCCTCAACAACGTCAAACAACGTCGGTTTCTTCGTTTCCTGGTAGCCTCCTTTGTAGAATCTATAACACTTTGGCAGCAGCGATCTATCTCGTACTAAATCCGGGACACCTGGAAAACAAAGACGAAAACAAAAGAAGTCGATATCAACCTCGGCTTAAGTATACCAACTGGGCGATACGGAACAAATCGCGGAGAAAGCAATCCAATCCCATCCACACTCTCCAGTTGCATTTCGATCCCAGGCTTGGACCAAGGATCTATGGCGCGCTGCGGGAACTTCCATCCTCCAAACTTTGGAACAGAACTTGCTCTACAGGAATCCCGGCTCGTCACCCTCCTCGCCTCCGCCATGGCAAACCACTTCGGCCGAAGTGCCAGCTCAGCCCTCCTAACGCTAGATTCAATCCACGTAGCGAGTGACGTGGCGCTGCCACCATACTGGTACAAGACCATGTCCTCCGGCTGTGGAGGCGAGAGCCACTCCATATGCTTCGCTGCTCTAGCCCCATTTTCCCGCAACCTCGAGAGCTTTTCTTCATCGATCGATTCTAGAATGGTCTTGGTCTGGTGGAGCTGGTCGCTTATTCCGAAGTTGGCTGAGATTTGACATTTTCTGGGATCAGATTTATTTGAGGTGGTGCTGCTGCAAAACTTTGCTTCCACAATGGTTCAAACTTCTTTCCATCTTTGTTCTAACGATTGGGGAATGCAGGCATTGTGTCTGGCTTGGTGCTTGGTGCGACTTGTCACACAAAGACATTTTCGATGACTCGGAGACTCCAAGTGCAGCTCCATGGCTGAGCGTCTTTCGGCTTTTTGGATCTTAGGCAATTAGGAGAAGCGACGAAGCTAAATGATGGAGCTTCGCACAGGAACAGGGCTTCTCACTTGTTAGCCTTCGTCTCAATCGTAAAGAAAATTTACGACCAGGCCATTGGTAAATACTCCATCAACCCATTCTTAGTACTTTTTTGCCTTAACGGTGGTTTGGCAGCGCTTAGGGTTCAACACAGCAGGGTGTTCTTTCGATTTCCCTCTTGGATTCTTAGTTTCTTGATCTTGCTCCTTGCCCGATTCCTTAGTTGCTTCAGGTACAGAGAGATTTTCTTTGTCATCTTTGGTACACCTTTGGTCGGCAACAAGTGCAAGCCCCAAGGCATCCAAGTGGGTTCTGCAAACTGCACAGAAACTATTCAAGCCAAGATAGCCTTCTCTCATCGATCGTCAAGCAGATGAAATGAACCTCTGGAGAACAGCCCGTTGTGGTGGAGTCACACTAGATAATGCGGACGTGGATGTGGGCACAGAAGATGATGCTGGGGATGTTGAGGATCTGGATGATGAAACTCCACAGACTAATGATCCAGAAGGCAACATAGTAGCAGCTGCTGTTTCTAATCTTTATAGCAAAGATTCTCACATCTAAGTAAGTTCTCCCGTTTTTATGCTTGTTATTGGAAACCAGCAAGAGAGCTCCCAAAACAGATCCCTTTGAGTCCTGATTGCAGTCCCATTACAAAGATGAAGCAACAAATATACGTTGGGATTGAAAACATGAAAAGTACACACAGAGTTCTTTCAATCAAAATCACATTGGTGAGTGGTTTAGTTTTTTATTTCTCTCTATTCTAAATTTGAGGTTTAACGGCACTGCTTTTGCAGGTTCACAGCATATGCTTCTGACAGCTAGGGGAAGAACATGAAGTGGCAATTGAAGGAGGTGCTAGTTTATGCAGGTAAGTACACCACCACCAGATTGGATACCATAACTTGACTAAAGTTTCTGAACAGGGGAATTTGTGCCCATTCAAAAAGTTCGTGAATTTGGTTTTCGCTGCACAGTTCAAGGAAATGCCACCTCTATTTACAGTACCAGGAAAGAGTGCCCTGAATTTGGACCTGACATAGCGCTTCTTAAAGTATGGGGTGCTTCTTCTAATTTCAATTTACTAAAACATTTGTTTTGTAGGTGGAGGGAGTGACTCTACCATGCTTTCTTTTACCTTCTTCGCCACAAAAGGACTTGCCTCTCACGGTATTTGGGTACCCTGGTGCTGTTGGCTACTTCAGACGAGCAACGCGAGAGTTATAACAGAATGCTGATCCAGAAAATGGTGGGCTTTGGAGCGTCTATTGGCAAGTCTTGTGGGACAATATTCAGGAGTGGACGTCACAATACGAAGTACTTAGTTTTTAACCTGGATTTTATTGGATTTATAGGGTGATCTAAAGCGTGCTGAAGAAACAGCTAAGAAATGGAGTTTCAAACCCTTTTGCGAGGAATACCGGATAGGGCTCAATGTGTTTCTGCTGGATTTGTTGAAGCACTTACATCATGCTCTGTCGGTCATACTTGTCCCACCGTACCAGGGTGGTAGTTCTAGCTACATTACTTTTCTGAAATCTCAAATTAATGTTGTTTACAAAAAGGGATTTCACCCATGGAAATTCCAGAAAGCTCACACTGGGGCCTTAGACATCAACCAAAACTGTGGAACGTCCACAGATAATCCAACTTTCGTGGATCAGCATCTAAAATTTGTGTTGCAAGCTCTTCCGACTCCACAGTGGGCATTGTACACAAGGGCAGATTTCAGCATACAAGGCCATTTCTCGCTTGGTTACACACTCATAAGACGATGCTCCCTCCATCTTCTCCCTGGGCGAAGCATCTAGCAGCTGATGGTTGTCCGTGCTAACGAGCAGCAGGTCGAACGACCATAAAAAAAAAGAAAGTTAGAAGACACTCTGTTCAATAGATAGGAGTGTTTATGGAAGTAATGTAAGTTTGCACCTAACTAGAGTCCCAGATGCTTACCTTGTCTACTGATGCCGAGAAGAAGTTGACGATGGATTAGATTAAGTTAAAACAAACCAGGCAATAGAACAAATTAGATTTTAGGGACTAATGGAGAGGAGGGGTTTTATGTTCTAGTTCTAGCTAGCTTTCTAGCCTGCATTCTAGGGTTTTAGCAAGAAATCAAGCGATCGAGCGAGCGATCATGGCAGAGGATGTGCTTGCGGCGTTCCTGCGAGGGAGGAGTCCTGTCGCGCATCTCATCGACTCCTTCGACGATTTCTGTGAGGCGCTGCCGTCGCTCTTCCAGCAGACGGAGGAGATTTCGATGGAGAAGGAGGGCAGCACAGCGTCCATCAAGCTCCTGAATGCGTCGCTCCGGCCGCCCGTGGTGAAATATCCCTGGGAGGCGCGCCTCGGGGATCAGAGCTACTCGGCAAGATTGTTCGCGGACATCCATGTCAGGGTGAGAAAGAAGGGCTTTGATGATATACATTTCGTTGCCTGTGAAGCTAGAGAGGAAAGAGGAGTGTGTTTCATTCTTCTTTTGCTTGACTGAGGTTTCTTTCTTTTCTTCTCAGCTCTCTAACGAGAAGGTCGACGAGTCCTTCCGAAATGACGAAGTTTTTGTCGGAGAGATTCCGTGTATGATCGGCTCCAAGCTCTCAAACGCCCATGCCGATGGAAAAATCGATTGTCCTCTTGATCCTGGAGCCTACTTCATCGTCGAGGGAGCTGAGAAGGTTTGGGCTTTTCACCTCTTGGTTTGCTGGAATGACTTTCTACAACTTTCCAGGTTGTGGTGCCTCAAGACTCGAACTTTGGGGCGAGATGCTCCATCTCTCGGAAGGGCTGCTGGAAGAGCTACGTTGTTTATCCCAACAAAGGATTGTCTTTCCGGAACACTTTCACGAGAGTTCTTCTCAAGGAGGACAAAGGAATCATCAACCTGGAGTTGTCTATCACGGGAGCCGATCCAGTCCCTGTCGTCGTAGCGCTTCGTGCTCTGGGATTGGCGACGGACAAGAGTGTCCTGGACGTGATACACGCCACAAATGATCCCGAGCTCGCCAACATGATCCTACCTTCGTTGCGCGAGGCCGCCGACCAGGTTTCCGACTTCTTCGGGGACGAAGACGTCAATCACCGGGATTGTGCCGCCAACCAGGAGTTCTTAGCTTCCAAGTCCAGGAAGCTCAAAGGAAGTTTTGTCGACGCTCTGTTTTCCGCTCTCGATTCTCCCAAGAGCAAGGTGATATACCTCGGCTACATGGTGGAGTTCCTTTGCACATCGTATCTTGGTCGCCGGCAGCCTCGAAAGAACAGCCTCGTCAATAAAAGGATCCTGGGCGTGAACGAGCTTCTGGCGCTACTGCTGACCAAGGCTATGACTCGTTTCATGAGGGAGACTTGCAAGAAAATGCTGCTGATGAAGAGCGTCACCGACGGGATCTTCAACGATAAGATCGTCACTTGTGACTTTAGAGACGCGTTCAAGAGGGGAGTTTGGGCTGAGCCACAGACGTATGGCAGCGGGGTGGTGGAAGCGCTAAAACGGCAAAACGTCACTTGTACACTGGCTCATCTCCGGCACGTAAGAACTCCATCTCAGTACTCGGGCAAAGTTAATGACAGCAGATACCCGTAAGTGAAACTCTTTGTGTCAATCATGCTATAGCTCTTTTCTTTCTGCAGAAACAAGTCTCACACTGGAAGGTTCTGCCCGGTCGAAACTCCTGAAGGGGAAAATTGTGGCCACCTCAAGACTCTGGCGCTGTTTGCGATGATTTCCTCTTATCGCGATGAAACCGATGTGCTCGACAACCTCAGCGGCTACTTACAAGATGTCGATGAAGTTCCCCTCCAGCAGCTCCATGTCTTTGACAAGGTATTTCTCAATGGACGACTGCTCGGGCTGTCAACACGGGATGAAGCTAAGGCTGCTGTCCTGCACCTTCGCAACAGGCGACGCCGAGGTGCCATCCATTCGGAGGTATGAGTTTTGACGTTTCCGGCTTTTGTAAAGCTGAAGAGATTATTTTCTTCTCAGGTGGAGATAGCACCAAACAAGCATGGCGAGCTGCAAATCTTTACTGACGGAGGGCGAGTTTTGAGGCCTGTCTTCATCGTGGAAAACAACGAGTGGCTACTGACAGACGACAATGTGTCTGAGCTCCGTGAACTGAGCAACGGGGAGGAAAAGGTCCGCTTTTTGCTCCAGGAAGGACTGGTGGAGCTGCTGGGGCCCGAGGAAGAAGAGCAATGCGTGATAGCTTCAAGGTACAGCGATCTGAGGTCAGGGATTTGCTACACACACATGGAGCTGCATCCGGCAGCGATGCTGTCCATTACAGCGTCCACCATTCCGTTCGCTCAGCACAACCTCAGCACCCGCGTCACCTACCAAGCTCAGAAACACTCGAAGCATGCAATCGGATACTACTCGTGCAACCCGAGCAAACGCTTTGACACGACGTCGGACAGCCTTTTCTATCCGCAGAAGCAGCTGGTGTCGACTAGCATGTGTCGGCTTCTCTCACCAAACGACTCCGCGATGATGCGGGGATGGCCGGAGAAGTTGATGCACGGCCAGAGCTGCGTCGTCGCCGTGGCGTGCTACGACGGCTATAACCAGGAGGACTCACTTATCTTCAACCAGGCGGCCATCGACCGTGGTTTATTCCGTTCCATCCACGAGAGGACTCACCGCTACAACATCAATCTGCAGAGCTCCGAGGAGAGCTTTGGAAGGCCTGTGGAGGAGGACGGTTCTCCGCAGCAGCGGTATCAGCACTTGGACGAGGATGGCTTCCCAGAGATCGGTGCGCGTCTCCAGTCGTCGCAGGCAGTGATCGGCAAGACCCGGAAGCTGAAAGAAGGGACAGTGAGCAACAGCAGCATCTTCCTCAAGAACTTCGAGGAGGGGTCCGTGAAAGAGGTGGTGCGGCTCCCGAAAATCGCCCAGGGATCGCACGACGTCAACTTTAAAACCGCGAGCGCGAGTTTTCCGCACGGCGGCGTCAAAGTTAAGATCGCGAGCACGAGAGCTCCGCAGGCTGGCGACAAGTTTAGCAGCATGCACGGGCAGAAGGGCGTGATCGGCTGCTGCTTGAGCCAGGAGGACCTTCCCTTCACTCGCCAGGGGATCGTCCCGGACGTGATCATCAATCCCCACGCCTTCCCGACTCGCCAGACTCTGGGCCAGATGCTCGAGAGCATCGCAGGGAAGGCCGCCGCGATGGGAGTGAGGGTGAATACCACTCCATTTAGCAGCGCCTCGCCGGATCAACTTGGTGCTGCTCTCCACAGGTATCTAAGTTCTTTTCTTTCGCTTTGTTCTACGATCCTATCGATGTTCTTGGTTTTGTCAAGGTGTGGCTTCCAAAAGTCTGGGAACGAGCGGTTCTACAGCGGCCTCTATGGCTCCATGATCAAGGCGGAGATCTTCGTCGGCGTTTGCTTCTACCAAAAGCTGATGCAAATGGCGGACGACAAGATCAAGTGGAGGAGGATCGGGCGGCATGACAGCATCACGCGGCAGCCCATCAAGGACCGGCAGAAGTATGGCGGGATCAAGTTCTCGCAGATGGAGCGCAGCAGCCTGGTGGCGCACGGCGCGGCGGCGTCGATCCAGGAGCGGATGTTCCACCTCAGTGATCCCCACCAGGTGGAGGTTTGCACGCGCTGCGACCGCATGGCCAGCATTGGGCGGTCGCGGGCGCCCAGCTGCCGCTTCTGCAAGGACAAGTTCCCGGGCTTCGCGAGGCTGGAGATCCCCTACAGCTGCAAGCTGCTGGTGCAGGAGCTCAACAGCATGGGAATCGACCTCCGCCTCGTCACCCATTCCAGCGCCTCGCTCCGCGGGAGGGAAGACAAGAATTAGGGTTCTTCCGCAAAACGCGCGAAGTTTAGGGCTTTTATACATAGTGGTTGAATTAAAGTGGTGGTGTTTTTGCAATTTTTGGAATTCAGTGTGTGCGATGTTGATGCCATATCCTTGGATGTCAATAATGCCTTGTCAGTGACGTACAAGCTGCTCTCCTCGACTGTGGTGGAACTGCACTTTATGGGAAGATTAGCATGAGCTGACAACAAACACAAGGAACGGAGAACCACAGCTGACAAGAACACTGCCATTTCTCAGAAGAATTTGAGCATTTTCTTGGGTTTTATACCAGGTAAATTTAAAATGTCTAAGCATAAACATGACTGACGCAAAACATGTATGTGCCTGGAAGTAGTGCTCTGTTGTCGGCCACACCTTGCCGTCGAGCGCGATGGGAGATCTGTAGAAGTTGGACAGAAAGCCGTATCGCGCATCCTTGTTGCTGCAAAACTCAATCTTGCTGCCAGCCTGTTCCTTCCTCCAACCTTAATTCTAAAGATTTTGACGTCATTGACTAACATTGACTTTGAGCTCGAGCGGTTCCAAAGCATGATCAAACCTTTCAACCTCGCGTCAATGATTCGAACAGCCCATGCTATACATTTTAGCGATGGCGATGGCGTCTCCAATGCCTTCAATCTTGGTCCCCTGGCACACACAAACGATGGGTCAGGGCCAAGCTAACGTTTCGTTTTACCTGGCCTTGTGCGGTTTCGCTGTTGCCACCCCCTTTGCCTTCCAGTGGCTCCAGAGCTTTTCTCAGCCACTCCACTGCAACGATTCTTTTGTTGCTTGGAGGGACTCCCGCGTAGACCAGAGCCTTGCCCGAGGCCACGTCCACGCTAAACAGCATGATCGCAATATCCTGCAAAAGAACCGCGAGTTGGCCGAGAGCTAGTGTTGGAAAAACGCTACTGGTACCTTGGCCATGATCGCCGAGACTGCCTTGCGAATGGCTTTGACATCGAGCCCGACGTCGCTTCTCACGACGCAGCAGCTTTGGAGAGCCGATTCAGCACAGCGCAAGGCATCATCCATTGCACGAGTCTGGTTGGAGAGCGATGACACCTTGTTAAGCTCCTTGACACGATCCTGTGAGTGGTGTATGGATGAGCACGCGTTTTGGAGCATAGAGGTGTACGATGTACCTGGAGCTTGTCGAGCTCTCCGCGAAGGATGAGCTTGCGGGTTAGTGGAATCTGTGCTGCGTCCAGTGACGGCTTCAAAGTCACCATTTCCTGAAGCACAAGGAGATTAAAGATGAAGAAGACGCAAGAAAAAGCATTGAAGCATCTATGTACCTTCTCCAGTTGTTCTGAGCTTGTCAGTTTCAACGCGTTAGACACTCGACAAGCGAACTCTTCTCCACGGGCAATCGCGAGTTTTGCGAGTGCTCCAGTGAGAGCCACAGCCTGTCTAGCCCCGTTGGAAGTGCTTTCCTCTGTCACAATGGTGAACTCACCAGCTTCCCTGGTGTTACTTAAATGTGTGCCTGGAAATTTCGTATAAGAAACACTAAACGTTTTCCTATAAGAAACTTACCTCCACACAATTCTGTGGAAAATGGTTCCGGAAAAGGAGCTGTGAGCTGGTTTTCCACAGCCAACCCGACTGAAACCACACGCACCGGGTCGGGATACATCTGAAGTGCGAGTGCCTACAGATAAAAGAAATGACGAAGAAATGTAATACCTCTCCAGGCACAGTACGTAAGCCTTTAATCCGATTCGCCTCCTCAAGACTCACTTCTTTGGTATAAACTTGAAGCTCCCTCCGAATCTGGTTCACAACAAGTCTCTCTACCTCCTCAATCTCTCGGAGCTCCAGTTTTGCACCTGGATAAAATTATGAGAGATCGATCCGCAAGGACTAGTCAAATACCATGTCTGAAACCAAATCTCAGCTTGTCCGGTGCAACCAAAGAGCTTGTCTGCTCAACATGGTCTCCGAGAACTTTCTACAGAAACAGAAAAAGGGAAAAAAGTGAAGTCACGACCAGCAACGCGACGAACACGATCGGGCTTCACCCTACCCTCAATGCCGAGCTCAACAAGTGAGTACCAGTGTGGTTTGCGGCGAGCTTTGAACGATTTGCGTATTCCACCTGCATTAGCCGTTTCGTGGAGAAAATGTTTGAAACTTACATGTAGGCGACGTACCTTCGCAACGACCACGTCTCCAACGGAAACACTTCCTTTCGGTATTCCTACATGCAGAACGTATCCTCCAAAGCACCTGACGTCTGTCACCTGTAGAAGGAAGCCGCAAGCCTCTATTGTGCCTATATCGTGCATCTGTGAACACAATGCGTTTTTGTATTGGAAACAAAATGCGAAATCACGCAACGTACCTGACCTCCTTGCTCGGAATAAAAGCTGGTTGATTCAAGCACTAGCCCCACGATGGAGTTGTCATCCACGCTGGCGTTAAAAGTGTCTGTGAAGCTGTTACAGCCGAATATTGCTGCAACTCTAGTTTCGTGGTCTTGTTGATAGACGTATTTGTTGCTGTCGCTAGTTGGAGCGACGCCGCTGGTTCTAAGCTGTGATATTTGAGCCGCTTCCAGAGACATGTCCACGCCTCGCGCCTACATTGTAGAGGGATTTCTTTCGGTACATGGATCTTGAACACACGAAACTTACTTTGCTACGAGCATCACGGGATTTGCGCTTTGCATCTTCCAGTGCTCGATTAAAACCGTTCTCGTCCACTTGAAAGCCATACTGCTCCCGAGCCATTAGCTGCAGAGCATGGATGTTCAGAGATCTAGAGAGTAATAAAAACAATCTGTAAACTTACCTGAGTGAGATCGAGAGGAAAGCCATACGTATCCCAAAGTAGAAACGCAACTTGCCCGCTTAACAGGCAATCCTTCACTTCAGCGGCGGCCTTGTGGAACCTCTCAACCCCCTATAAATGAGCACATAAATCTCGTCACTTCTTATTGCCTGAAAAATATGATCACCTTTGTTAAAGTCTTGGTGAAGCTCGCTTCCTCCTCAGCAATTATTTTCTTGACCGTGTCCTTTGCCCCGTTCAGCGCTGGGTATGCTTCACCCATGGTTGTTACAACAACATCCACCAGGCTGGATAGCAAACAGAAAACAAATGTCAGTGGGAAACGAGAAACTTAAGAGAGAAAAAACGCACCCGTTGAAGAATCCATGCTTAGCCTTCATAATATCCACACCATATCGCACGGCTCGTCTAAGGATCCGTCGGAGTACGTATCCCGCTCCCTCACTGCCTGCTTGGCGAAAAAAAGAAACTATATGAAAACACGAAGCAGCGCAAAAACCATTGCCTACCTGGTCGGCAGCCGTCAGTAATGGCGAAGGTTAGCGTCCGCGCATGGTCCGCTAGGACACGGTAGGCCGTGTCCACTAAATCAACGTCGTCATCTCCCATTCTTCCTAAATAAGGCCCAGCACTAGTAGCCTGGAGGAGCAAAGGAAGTCAGAAGATACAAACACAAGCCCGAAGATCTGTAATTTCACACCACCTTTTGAATGGCATCGAAGATCGGAGCAAACAAATCTGTGTCGTAGTTACTCGACTTATTTTGCAAGACGGACACGAGGCGCTCCAGGCCCATGCCGGTGTCAACGTTTCGGGTGGACAAAGGAGTGAGCTTACCGTCCGTCTCTCTGTTAAACTGCATTTAATCACAGGAATCAAAAGCTTAGAAAACACTAGTTGAATCGATCACAGTACCTGCATAAACACAAGATTCCAGAGCTCGATGCAGGTTGGATCGTCCATGTTGACATACGCAGACCCGTCGCGCCCACCAAGCCTGTCGTAATGGATCTCGCTGCAGGGGCCGCAGGGGCCGGTCTCTCCCATCTCCCAGAAGTTATCCTGCGAAAGGCGATGACAAACACATTTCTTTTTACAAACAGTAATCGTCTACAAACCAACCTTGCAGCCGAACGGAAGAACTCGTTGTGGTGGCAGAAACTTGAGCCAGATATCTCTGGCTTCAGTATCTCGTGAAAGGCCAAGGCTATCATCCCCACCAAAGTAAGTCGCGAAAAGACGATCTTTAGACAGCTTATACACCTTGCCAAAGACGAAAACGAATCAGCATGAAGAAAAGATGGAAGAAAGTTTATACCTGTGTGAGAAGCTCCCATGCCCAGGTTATGGCTTCCTCCTTGAAGTAGTCCCCAAAGGACCAGCTCCCCAGCATCTCGAAAAAGGTGTGGTGGTATGTGTCCTTGCCAACATCCTCGAGATCGTTGTGCTTGCCACCAGCGCGAATGCACTTCTGGCTGTTGCAAGCGCGCATGATCGTCCTTCTTGCGTTGTGGTTCCCGCTTTCCAGCAACAGGCGCTTGAACTGGACAACACCTGGAAGAACACAAGGAAATTCAAGCCGTATCTAGATGTATCTCGACTTACCGGAGTTTGTGAAGAGGAGCGTAGGGTCATCCAGGGGGATGAGCGAGCTGGATGCTATCTCCTGGTGCTCCCTATCCTCGAAATACTTCACGAACGTCCTCCTCACCCGGGAAGACGACCACTCCTCCATTGCCAACAAAGCCCTAAACCCTAGTCCCGTTTAACTTTTTAGAATATTCTAAATCGCGCCAAAGAAAATACAAAAGAGGCAGCAGTTTCCGAGCTACTCATATCTTCGACCCGGGCGCAAGACAAGATCTATTCTATGGACCCAAAATATACAATCAATACTGAGGACACAGGAAGGATTATATTTGTAGACAGGGGCGATGTTTCTCCAAGATCTGAAGCTCGAGTTAGTGGTAGCTAGCGAGACAAGTTTTGGACCGAATACCAAACCTGTAACGCCCTGGAAGTTCGAGAACATACAGAGAGCTTCGTACTTTGTGGCTTGCTTCGCCATGGCTTGTTCTGCCTTGAATCCACCCACCCGTCTGGAATGACTACACTTTTCTTCTAGATTGATGCGAGGAGATAATCTCTAGGATTGTGCAAATAAGCTCTAGATCAGGGAGAGAGGAAAACAAAGAGGCTAACCTTATAATACACATGATGTTCTCCATGACCATCGAGGCCACCGGTGATGGTTTCTCTGCCAAGCAGCATCAATGTACACCAGTGCATGAGCCGAGATCCACGGCTGAAGAAAAACCAGCCATTATCGATCTTGAGCACCTCCACTGGAGCGCGTTCACCACCTTTCCGCCCTCCCTCAACTTGGAGTGGCAGCCACCCCTAGCAATTTCCAGCAATTTCCACCCTTGCTTCGTACTCTTCATCTGGAAGGCTTGGAAGTTGAGGTGCTCAGGATGCAGTGCTTCAGCCTGACAGAGCGAACCAGGACCAGATTCGGAACGGGAAGAGTGCAAAGATTGCTATCTCCTGATCTTGACGATGGCTCGACAGGTGCGACTTCCATTACCCGCATGCGCTAGCTTTCCCAACCCCATTCTGTGCTCCCATGGCAGTAAAGTTTACTGTCTACAGTCTTGTGTCAACGAGCAAGGATGAAGTTGCAGAGATCATCCCCAGAGTAGACATGCGATGCCCATTCTCTTTGGCTCTGGCCACCTTCGAACCCATCCACGATCCGTGTCTCCACCAGCGCGATCGCTTGCAAGCTGATCACCAAGACAATGTCTTTCCCGTCCTCGAGCATTGATGCCAGCCTGGTGCTCGCTTTGCGATTCACCTCCGGTGGGAGCGTGATCCCGAGCTCGTGATACGTCTGCTGCAGCCAGACGGCCGTTTGCGAGATCAAAAATGATGGTACCTTTGTGCGTCCCCAGGATTGAGCGAAATCATTATCGAGTTCTCTTCTACATGAGGACGCGGGGAGCCAATGGCTCCACTGGCCGTATGGGCTTCACGGAGGTGGAGGTGGATCGTCCGGGGGACACCAGTGAATCCAGGAGATCGCCCAAAAGACGCGCGCAAGGCTTTTGAGATCAGGAATGTCGAGGAAAGATAGAATCTTGTCTAACATTTCTTCTTGCCGCCATAGACATTCGGGATTTTTAGGGTTCCATTACGAGCAGAGCTCTATCCAGATTCAAGCGCGGTCCATTCCAAAGTTGCTGGTTGGTTGCGACGTGCTGGGAGCATCCTGCACTGGCACCGGAAAGACTTTGGCATTCCTGGTGCCCGCGTTGGAGTTTCTCAACCGAGCACAAATCAACTTTCTTATTCTCTCTCCCACAAGAGAATTGGCAAGCCAGGTTAGTGTTTCTTTTCTTTTTTTTCTTCTTGCTTTCTCTTAATCTTCTAAAGCCACAGATCCATGGAATTGCAAGGAAACTTATGTCAGCGCACACCCAGACGCATATGGTGATCATCGGAGGCTCGAATCGTAAAGCCGAGGCCGAAGGAGTGAATCTCCTCGTTGCTACTCCTGGAAAGCTCCTGGATCATCTCAGGAGCACTGCTGACAGTGGACGTGGAGGATGGATCTATCACAACTTGAAGGTGATTCTTTCATATATGGTTTGAAGTTTCTATTCCTTTGCGCACTGTTTTCAGTACTTGATAATCGACGAAGCGGACCGGCTGCTTGACATCGGATTTGAGGAGGAAATGAGGCAATGTGTGAAGTCTAAAATACTTCAGGCAGTTCTCATTCTCCTACCTGATTAGATACGACCTCGATATAGACTGGATCCTTGAGCGTCAGTTTTGCATGATCTTCCACCTATTGATCACCGAAAACGCGTATAAGGAGAAACCTGCGGTAAGCATAGCAAATGTTTTGTAAGCGATGCGAATGCTTTTCCATGCCTGAACAGATTGGCAGGCTTGGAGGCAGCATAAGGAGAAGCGAAAAATTTTAAGCTCGCCTTCTGTGTTTGAGTTGCAGAAAACATCACAGTTTGTCGATCTGCCTTCTGCAGCAACATAACCAGTAAAACTCTGTCAGGTTTGAGCTGATTGTGGATTTAGTCTACTGTATAAGGCCTGGAGCAAGGCTACTGTGTGGTGCCCACCGAGAAGCGGCTCTTGCTTCTCATGACACATTCCTGTAGAAGAACAACAAAAAGAAGGTAAAAAGCAAAGAAAACAGGCATCTCTAGTTGCTCGGAACTTAAGAACAAGTGTTCCAGGTGATGGTCTTCTTCTCTTCTTGTAAGTCCGTCAAGTTCCACTTCGAACTGTTTCGCCTGTTAAGAAGATGAAGCAGTCGACGAGGTTTACGTAGTTTTGTGCAGCGGAATCTGGGTTCCTCCTCTGTACCGATGTTGTGGCCCGAGTTCTGGACATTCCTGCCGTGGTAAGCATTGTTTTTGCAATATGTTATGGAAGAGTGGGATTGTGGCAATGGTTTTCTGAGTTCTTTGTTCCTTCAGGACTGGATTATCCAGTACGACCATAAGGTTGGCCTATTTTCCTTGTTTTTGCTGATGAAAGCTTGCCTTCTTTCTTCACAGGAATATATTCACCGAGTTGGCCGGACCGCTCGCGGAGAGGGTGCCCGTTGCCAGGCTGTATTGTTTCTGCTGCCTCAGGAGCTTGATTTCCTTCGTGACCTTAATGTATGGCTTTTCTTTCCTCTATTTTTCTTTTGATCTATTCCATCTGCTTATGGAACTTCGAAGTTGCTCAACATTCAGAGTTTTCTGGTTTGTGATGTCCAATCTGCTTGTTCCTTTTTCATCCGCTTTTCATTCTTGTTCTCACTGTTTTGCAGGAAACTCAGCTACTCGAGGTCCAAACCATGCGTCGCTTGGCTGCAGACGCTTTCAAGTCTTATCTCCACTCGTACCACGCCCATACGCTCAAAAGTGTCTTCGACGTCCACAAACTCGATTTTCAGGTTCGCTCTCTTTTCCCTTTGCCAAGAGCTCTTGTTCAATGAACTGCTGGGTCTTGGAGGCTCTTGGAGCGTCGTTTTGCCTCAAATCTATCCCACCCGGCTGCTCGATCATTCACAACAACGCAGCCAAGCACAGAAAGGCTGGCGGGAAGAGAAAGGCGTCGTCGGCACACGCTTTCAGCGTCAAAAATCCTCATGAAAAACGAGGCTGTGGCGACAAGAGGCAATTCTCGAGGATTTGAGAGCAACAAAACTCGAAACAACAATTGAGCACAGAAAGAAGATCCAAAATATGTTTTTGCCTTTTCTTTTGCCTCTCATGTAGGGTATCAAAAAGGTGGTGGGTTGGTCGAGGAGAAATGGAAGCTGCGTGTGTGCAAGGCGCGCAAAAGTGGTGGGCTTTCTCAGCAGGCATGACTGCGGAGGAGGTGCTGGGTCATATCTCGAGGGAGACAGAAACGAGCGCTGATCTACTGTTGCTGGAATCCAAGGCAGGGGAGGCAATTCTCCCGAGGGACTCCAAGCTTGCTGCCGGTGTCGATTACAGCGTTCGGGTTAGGACTAAGTCACTTCCAAAGAGACGGTTTGTAGCTGGGCATGCAGTAGATCCAGAGGCGCACTACTATATCACCCCGGACGTGGACGACCTGGTATCCGACCTGGCGCAGGGCAAGACCTGCGCGTTGTGTGGCCCTCGACAGAGTGGAAAGTCGACAATGGTGCTGGCAGCTCGGAGGGAGCTCATGTTAACGTCCAAAGCGACTGTGGTCTACCTAGATGGACTGGAGGGTGCGAGGATGAGTTGGAGCAGCCATGACTTTTGGGGCTATATCTGCGACAGCCTCACCTTGAAGTGTCAAGCTCTCTTCCCCAAGCAGCAGGTGCCATGTACATCTCTCGTCTTCAAGTCGCTCTTCACAAGGAGCAAGCTGCCGACGCTGGTGACTGTTGTCCTCGACGAGGCAGATTCTCTGCTGGACATATCGTCGGACATCGTGGACGAGTTCTTTGTCACCATCAGAAGCATCAAGAGCGACAAGGATGCGTACAACTTGTATGGCTTTCTGCTTGTTGGGGTGGAGACTGTAAAGGATCTACTTGAAGCACGATACAACAAGCGTGTTCCAGATGCACTAAGGACAGACACGCATATGCCAAGTTCTACTCCAAGTCGGCTGACTCCTTTTCCTCACGACCATGTCTTGACATCCTCAAGGTTCACTCTGGAACATGTGAGGGAACTGCTACACCAAGCAGCAGCGGATCGTCCAAGTGTGGCCATCGAGGTGGAGAGCATTGCAGTGTCGATAATGCAGTGGACTGGCGGTCACAAGGGGCTTACAGGCACTTGCCTGGCATACCTTGTTCAGGAGGAGCTCTGGACGTTCAGGCGCTGGCTCCGGCGAGCAGAGTCGTATCGTTTGGGAACTTACATATTCGGACAGGCTACGTACAACAGGATTCTTGCTTTCATTCGGAAACAGAAGCAAGATGCCGAGGCATGTAAGCTGCTGACGCGGTACCTGGAAACTCCTGGTCTATATTGCGGACCCGAGACGCTGGTGCAACTACGCGATTTTATTGCACACGGGGTGCTCGCAGCATCTGTGGTTACAGCTGATGATGAGGAAACTGAGGCAGGAAGGTATTATGTAGGCATTTCAACGCCTCTTCTTCGGACTGCTATGCTCCGTAGGTGCACCGTCTTCTGCGACGACGTGGATGCACCTCCTTGTGCTACTCGACTGGACCGCTTGTGGCTCCTTCTTCAGGCTATCAAGACTCTGGACGGAGAAGTTATGTGCAGGCCCGAGAGCTTAAGAGCTAGAGGAGCAGGTCCATCCGAATACGCGCAACAGTTCCTCTTCCTGTGCAGGATGAAGGCCATCCTGAAACGTGCTTATCCTTGCATTCCAGTGACAATTCTACCTGAAGTCAAGGAGGAGATTGTGCCAGATCAGAGGTGGTCTGAGCTGCGCTGTGACTCTCTATTTTGCGACGGTCCCAACTCCAAGTTTGCAGTGGAGCTTGTTGCGAGCGGTAACATGAGACAGATAACGGAGCACGTGACGAGGGCGCTTCTTTACCATGATCAG